CAGCAATGCAAAACAGATGACCTGTTACCTGTTGCTAAGTCCTGCTTTCCTTTTGAACTGAAAATAACTGACAGTCCCGTGGGGGTTTGAGAATTAGTACAATTTATGCCCACTTGATTTCAGAGAGAACAGGCAGCCCAACACGAACCCTGACATTCTGCCATTATGGGTTTTGGTGGATTTGGTTCCTCAAAGAAGTGAGCACTCAGCGTTGGTGGCATCTCTTTGGTGGCCTTCACCCCTGAAGATATCGTTCAACACCATAAACATGTGGGCTATAAATATAATCGGCATCTCTTTGGTTACATTCGTCCTTGAAGACATGGTCCAACACCATAATAACATTCGCTGCAAAAATAATCACTTTTTATAGAACCATGTTAAGATTTGTATGCGCTGGATGCAAGGATGCTGCACTGGATCTGTGATAAGCTTGAAAAATTTCTTTGTGCATCAAGTTCATTGTCAAATTGAGCATCTAAGAGTGTTTTGTAACCTATTTATTACTTATGATGTCTGTCATACAAACCTATGGGCTGCAGTACCATCGGAATGTACCCTTTTCATGATTCGTAATATGAAATAGAATGGGGACTATCTATATAGTTTCTTGTCCATAACTGATTATTTTTTGTTGCTCTTAGTTTTGCATTTTACTTGTCATGTTTTAGCTTGCACTGTAGGGTGCCAACTTCGAACGTCTAAATGGGAAACTTCCTGACGGAGAGAAATAACATTGTATATGTATATATATTGTGCTGTAAAAAAAGGTCTTCTCAACATTGGACAGAAGTCACTGACAATGAATATGCTTATGTGCTGGGTACCGAAACCCTAACACCTGTTCTTCTCCTGCCCCTCCATCGGCTTCTGGCAGATCATGCAGCCCTTGCCCTCTTGGCCCCAGCACAGCAGCATTGATGGATTCACCTCGTCCTTCACAGCTAAATTCTGAGTTTCTGACTAGTCTTCATCCTTCCTGCTCATGTTTGCTCTCGGCCCTTGCATAGTTGGATGCAAAACAACCTAAATCTTGTCCCCTCTCTATTTATCCTTGTCCTGTACTTCTACGAAGTCAAACTTTTTAACTTTGACGAAATATATATAAGAAAACATTATAGTGCATAATTAGTATCATTAATGAATCGATGGATATATTTCCATAATAATATTATTTGGAGATATAAATGTTGCTAATCGTCTCTATAAATCTAGTCAAATTTTTAAAAAGTTTGACCAATAAGAATATCATAGCGACACTCTTTTTGGTAGTCAATGGAATTAATTGAGAGTTAATGTGAAACCAAGTGTGTTCTGTTGATTCAGATTCAGAAAAGAAAAGTTAACTGATTCAGCTTCAGATGTCAGAATCTATACAGCTCCGAGGAAAGACGATCAAGTTTAGGCAAAATTATGCGGCTCAGTTTCCATCACAAACCGAATGCAATCGTCTAGTCTCAGAGGGAAGGGGATTGGAGTCCCAAGTTGGACAGAGTGTGCATCTTAAGGATGTGGCCGCAATTTAAAGCGGGGAAGAAAAGCTTGACAGTTTCCTGTTACTGACAGGGGTTTGTTTTTTCGATTTTTGTCACCCTGACGTGGACATTTTTGCTATGATGCAGGTTCATTCAGATGCTATAAGTCTATGCTATTTCGCTCTGAGGCTACCCTGATTTAAACAGCGATGGTAATTGGTGACATGTGCCCTGTGCCCATAAGCTCTTGTTGCCTGCATATACATCAAATTAGTTGTTTGTTTGAACCAAGAATGCCTATTGCCAGTAAACTGGTTGAAAATCATTATCCCCTGCTTTGCTTAAATCAGCCCTACACTCACCCTTAGGCCTTAGCTTGCCATCACGATGACATCGAGCACGGGAAAATTTATGTAACCAACGATTTTATATGCATAGATAAATTTAGAAACACCGGTGTCAGAGACGAGATATGCTGCTGGACAGATACCAGATGGCTCACTTTTCAGTTCATCATAACAAAGAATGTTAAACAAGACACACAGTTTATCAGAAAAAGGTTGGCCTGGCTGAACTAGGAGAGGTTCAGGCGTTCATCCAGGCAACGTTTATATGCAGGAAGAGTGACTAGTTCCAGGCTCTTGCAGGGAGGAAGCAGAACGTCTTCAGCTAGTAAGTTGCCCTGTAACTCTAACTCTAATCCAGTTACAGTTGATATACTCTGCTTTGCCCACTCAATGAGTAAAGACACAACTACACATATTTTTGGGCTTAAGGGTTATATATGTAATTAACTGCACAATTATCTTCACTTGTTCTAAAGCATCTACATATGATTTTTCCGCACCATTGAGATCTCTCTGAAACTCTTTCTTCAGTAAGTATCAGCATAACATATATCTATGTTTTTTTTTCTTCACAGCATCTACATATTAGTTTTTGAGTGGAGTTAATGTTAATGGTATCATTTGTTCCTTAGCCACTACGTTAAGATTCGTCAAACAAGAATGTTTCAATTGAACATTTTCTATTATATTCATGTAATAATGCCATCATCTTTTTGTTTCATGGCAACAAAAACTTATATAAAAGCAAGTTTTTAAAACACAATTAGATATTATTTCTAATATTTTAGAAAAAGAATTCATTTTTCTAGAACTAAAACTAACTTTTGGAAGCCTATAGAGACATTTTCAAGAGCTCTAAATATTTTTTTATGTCATTACCCAATCTTTTTAGGATTCGTGAAATTTTTAGAAGCTTAGAGCATCTCGAAGAGACTCTCTATATCCTTCCTAAATGCTAGGATTAGAGATTTTGCTAAAAACCTATCCTCCAACAACTTTTCTAAATGGTTATCAAATATAGCCATCTTCTATTCCGAATTTTTTGCTAGCCAAAAATAGAAGACGAGAATGGCTCTCTAGAGCGCGCATGAGATATAGAAAAATTGTTGGAGAGTGAAAAGATATATAAAGCGATTTTATGCAAATGACTCTCCAATGATGATTTAGAGAGTGAGATTTAGAAAGGCTCTTGTAGATGCTTTTAAAGACCTTTTTATTTATCAGATTTCTTTTAACTATAGAAATCAAGAAATCATCTTAAAACCACTTCTAACCTGACATGGAGGCAATTTAAATGGTTTTGAGAGTTCCCGGGATAGGATATCCAATTTATAGAGTTTGATTAGAAGAAAATACATGACAAAAAGATATTTTTTTATTTTTCATTCATCTGTATAAATCAATCAGTATTAGGATTAGTTTTGGCGTAGTGACATGTCAACATGAGGATGCCAAGAATTTACTTATTAGAGGTCCAAAATTGTAGCTCTCTTAGCCAGACTCTGACCATTACTCTCAAACTTCTGTGAGGCAATAGCGCGCCAACCGCCCAACAGGCCCGTACTATGGATGAGGGGTGGCCTTGACAAAACCAAGTCCCGCGCACTCTTGTGACAGCTCACTAATGCATGCTCCTTCTGTCCACTAAAGAATACAATTCTAGTATAGTGCCAAGTTAAAGTATCTTATGTTTGATTAACTTATATATAAAAAGTATCAACATATAATATCAAAATATCATTAGATTTATCATGATATATATTTTTATAATATACTTATTCGGTTTCATAAAAATTAATATTTTTATCTATATATTTAGTTAAATTTTAGACATGTTAATCAAGAATGCACCTAGAATTGTATTCTTTTTTAGACAGAGCCACAGAGGTAGTACTGTTAAAAAGTTAATATTTGAGAAATGATTTCAAAAGTACAGATTCATATATACTTTTGCAAGGAAGAAGCATCGGTCTGTAAATATTAGAAGCACATACAAAATGTTTATATTAAACTTATATATATATATGAGATTTCAATTATTGACCAATTACGCAAAATGAAATGCTATCTATTTGCTGTAAAGAACTACGCAGTCCTCGGCTGTAGCAGCTGTCACGTTTCTATTATCGTCTGCTCCTTATGGTCATAGTGCGCTACAAGCCTACAACAAATACTAGCAGCTGTCACGTTTCTATTATCGACGCGTGGTAGAGCTAGATTAACGCAACCTGACTTGAAATTTTGCCTTGGGCCTCATTGAGAAAGTTCTTAAACTCAAAAGCAAGCCCAACAACACCACCAGGCCCAAGAAGGCCTAACGATCTCCTTTCCAACACTCGTTTCCGTCGGACACGGTTTCAGATCCTTCCCGTCAATCTCCAAGTTTGCATTATTACGTAGAATGCCAGATTTCACCCCTTGTTGCTAGCAGTTTCAGTAATGCTCTAATGCAGCCAGACAACAACAACTTTTACGGTACCGTAATAGTACTGGCAGAACCGCAGAGGTTGACACATCCTTCAGTGAGTCTCACTCAAACACAAATTGCATACTGTGGTAGTTCAAGAAATTTACAAAAGAACACCATGTTTTGCATCCGTTATTACATAATAATGTCAAAGTCTTACACGCAAACAAATCCATTTGAGACTGAATCAAGAACACACACATAAACAACACTCCAGTTGGGTCGGTCCCGTGTGGAACAGTCCAACTTCTCTAGGAATTTAAAGAAGCTTCTGATTTTCCACACAGGCCTTGCAACTTTTAACAAAAGCCAATGTATAAATACAGGTGTAAACGACAGTGCAAATGGCAGAGTACACGGAGGAACCAATACACTAGTGACAATCTTGGACGAGCAGAGTAGTACTAGTAAGTAATGCGGCAATGACCACGGACTACCAGACGCTCACATCATCTGACCTGAGAAACATTTGTTTTGCAGCCAACAGCAATGCAAAGGTGGAGGCGAGGAGTGATGTGTTATCCAGTGGTATGCTTGCCAGGCTAGCTCCAGAGAGAAGATGATCATTCCTGGTGCAACGACAAAGAGTATATATATGAGAACTGTAGAGAAAACAGAGCTGACCGTGGGCAGTCAGAATTTCAAAGCAACAGAGTGGTGATTTGATTACCTTCTGCTGTGACTGTGAGGATCGGACAGCGTGGCTTTGGATCAACTTTCAGCTTCAGTAATCTCAATTTCAACCACTCCTTTAGCCTCCTCATCGACTGCTTGAGCATCGTCTCTTCCGGGTCCAGCATCTGTGCCGCTCCAAGAAGTTCCGGTTGCATTCTCTGCCTCCTCATCGACTTCCTGAACACCATCGTCTTCGACGCCATTGATGAAGAGATTGATCGGGTTGCGATGCTTGGCAACTTGTTCCTTCACCGCCTTCACTGTCATCTTTACACTGGTGCTGTTGACGCACCACTCGCTGTAGCTGAGGACCACTTCGTTGATCCTTGGGAGGTTGGTGATACCGGATGGAACACGGTCTTCACTTGCAGGGGCCAGAGGAGAACTTGAGTTGAAGGTGTCCAAGCCGTTCCATGGCAATACGCAGTCAAGGGAGAACCGCTGGAGCTCGCGGAATCCTTCATTTCCAATCACTATGGCTTGGCTAGGAATGAAGTCCAAGCCTAGTATTAGGCACTGCAATTTGGGCAGGGCTCCAAGTATCTTCAGGTCATCGGTCGTTGTTTGCTTGTTACAGACAGTGATTTGCACAAAAGCTAGACGCTCGAGCCCATTGATCCATGGTGGAACACTTGCGAATCTTCCTGCTGTCACCTTGAACTTCTTAAGCCTGCTAGGCGCACGAGACTCTTCAAGGGAGCACCTCCAAACTGTGTAGATCCCCGAAAGCCCTGACGAAGCTTGCAGGTTGTTCGGTTAAATCAACAGTGGCTAGTGTGTTTAGCATGTTGAGATGCCACACATCGTGATTAGTTATTCCTTCATCGCCAACGAGAAGAATCTGCAATCTCCATGGGCCCACAATTTGCTTTGGCAGCTGGCTTATCCGTGTGCCTCTTAGGTCCAGGTGGAACAGACATGTTAGCTCGAACAATTCGAGTGTCAACTCACTTAGGGGTGTTTGGATCCGGTGATCAAAGTTTAGAGGTGTCATATAAGGATATTATATGGGGTAATCGGATACTAATAAAAAAAATAAATTATAGAATTCGTCAGTAATCCGCGAGATGAATTTATTAATCCTAATTAATCCGTCATTAGTACATGTTACTTTAGCACCATATTGTCAAATCATGGACTACTTAGGCTAAAAAAATCGTCTCGTAAAATAGTTTCAATCTATGCATTTAGTTTCATAAATAATATATATTTAATACTTCATGTATGTATCCAACATCCGATAGGACAACGACTAAAGTTTAGGAGGTAGAACAAACAACCCCTTATCAAAGTGTAACTTACGTCCAGTGTCCTCAGAGCCTGCAGCTCCTTGACCTCGTCCGGGAGCGTGCTGACTCGAGTATTCCTCACGCTCAAATAGCTCAAAAAGATAATTTTGCTTCTGCATACCTGCAACAGATCCTCATCCTTAAGATTCTCCCAGGCTTCGAAATCCAGCACCACCAGATTGACAAACCTGTGCAGAGGGATTATTCCGCTGTTGACGGCCCTAGACACAGATAGCGAACGAGTCTGGGACAAATCCATAGTTTCAAGCAGCGACAGGAGCAGGGGATGTGGATAGTGCAGGGCTAACCTCCGTGGCGTCCTGCCGCTAGTTTGTTTGTCACACTCTGTTGTTGTTGCTGCTGATGCTGCCAATAAGTTGAGTGTAGTGGTGGTGAAAATGAAACCTATCTCCGCAGATTTGGAGGCAAGGAATTGCTGCATAAAATTATTGACTTGCCAATGGCAAGCCTCAGGTTCATCTTGCTTGTGTTTGCAGTTCGATGGTACACAGCTGATGACATTCCTATCCACTAGCTGGGAGAAGAACGTCTCTGCTTCTGACATAGCATCACTAGAATGCGAGTAATAAAATGGATTAGTACGAGTAAGGCCTTCATGCAACCATTTCAACATGAGACGATCCTTTTCAAACTTGTACCCATAAGGAAACATGCTCATGTACAATAATAGTAACCTTGAGTCATCATCAGGGAAGTCATTAAAAGCAGAGGACAGTGCTTGTTCTAACCGTTCTGGCAGCCGGGGGACTTGTTCCTCGTCCTCACCCTCTGGTGGTCGTGGGTACTGCTTCTGCAATCGTTGTCCCTTCAGCCAGTCTGCCATGCCAATTATAAACAACTAGTCCATCACTCGCGCCCTCGCGCGCGTCGGCAATCAGTTGGAACTGCAATAGTAGATCTGGAGGTGTGTATATATTTTTATAAGATCGGAGCATGGACACGATAAATACCTGGCACTGTAATACCTGGCGCACGATGTGAATTAGCTGGTAAATGAAAAATACACATTTAATCTTTGTATGGAAAGAGAATTAGGCAAAGGAGGTTAATCTAGACATTTTATACAGATAAACTCGAACACTTCAGTTTTTTTGTACATGGGGCAGTACATATTTGACAACACAAATCAGTGATCGCAGTGTTCTGGATGCCTGAGAAGGTAGCAAATTAAGTGCTAACTACGCCTCTGGATGTTTGATCCTTTCATCTTGAGATGTCAAAGGGATGTGTTTTAGTAATCTTTGTCCACGATTGCAAAGGTTGCTGCTGAAAGACATTGAACTCTGCTTGCTGGGTGAATCTGGTGATACATTTGAATATGGTAGATCTATTCAGTCTGTCAACAAAAAGATGAATATATGATGTGTGCATGCGCAAAACAATTTACCGTGAGTAAAGATGTGATTCAGTCAATTCAACTAGGAACCTAAAAGGCAACGAGATGGATATGATGCTTAGCAGGAGCACTTCACATTGCTATTTGTATGCGAACAAGAGCACATGGAATTTGAAACACATTTGGTGACTGGAGCATGACTAAGCATTATCATACTGCATCAAGACATGTGTTGTATGCTATTCACATCGTACAAAGCTTGTTATCTAAATGATGTTGGTCAGCTAAATGTTTAGGAAAATAATTTTGTAGATAATGCTTCAAAATCTTTTTTGGAAATAGCAGTACAATGAGGCAAAGCGTGATTTAACAGATAGAAGGGCAAGTTAGGTAAAGAAAAAAGTGCATGCCTGCCCGGGAGCCAACTTAGGTAAAGAAAAAAATGCGAACTAAAAAATCAGATCGAAAAATGGATGCCGTCTAGGGCGGTAGGATGGTATGAACAACACTGTAACCGGAATTTGTATAAAAATCACAAATCACAGTCTAGAAGGTCTAAAGACTATAGATGACAAAAAATGAATGCCGTCCAGGGCCGTAGGACGGTACGAACAACACTGTAACTGAATTTTTGATAAAAATCACAAATCACAGTCTAGAAGGTCTAAAGACTATAGATGGCAATAGGAGGCAACCTAACTGCAGACATGGTGGCACAAATTTCAGCAGTAGCTAAATTCACACCTTAGAACATGCAGCGGTAGGGAGAAGCATGAATCACTAAGTATGCTAATTTCATCAGTAAACAAACTCAGTTGTCGTGTAAGCTAAAAGGCGAACCCAGAATAGGCACAGTCAAAACATAGATAAGAGGAGCATAAAAACGGACACTAACCTAAGCTGGCTATAAACGTTTGGAACAAGCTGCCATACCTTTTGCCAAATATTGGAGATCCTGCAAGAGAAAAAAAACACAAGCTAGTCAGCAATAGGAAGCCGTTCGTTAGACGTAGTCTGTTCAGACAACATAAATTTGGTTACAAAACAACTAAACATTGCAGTTTGCGCTTCTGAAGCAGAAACTTTAGCATTTTCTATGTTAGATGCGCAAAAGATAGGTCTATATAGCTGAGTACAGATAGTTCTAAGCATCCAACTTAGCACATAATATATAGTGGACAGTAGTGTCTCGAAGTATGTAAACGGGCTGCCATCCAGGAGGCACTATTACATACATAGGCTGGATATAGGAAAGTGAACAGGGACTTGTTGTATGCACTGAGCATAAACTTGTTCATGTCACAAAATGCCAGATCCATGTCACTGTTTCATAGACCTGTAGGATAAGGAAAATGGTTAATAGCATGAGGAGTATGCAAGACACTTATTAAATCTGTCATAGACTCATAGTAGCAGAAAATAGATTTGGTATCATAGGTAGTATGGGTTTAGATAAATGATCAGGCCTCCGAACATATCTGAAATGGACCGCTTATGTTAACAAATTCTGAAAGTTTTTGACGAAGTGATCGGCGCTATATGTTCTGCACTGATAGGTGAAAAATAAAAGGGTAGTGCAACTAACTGGGACAATTTTATTTATGTAAGAAAACCCAAAGTGCACGAAGCAAATAGATCTGTCCGTTAAAAAATAAAATGAAACATAGATGCTAGCTGAGGAAGTAAGTTTGGCCTGGAAAATCATTTATTTTTGCTTTAGTTTAAAGACGGAATTATATTTTGGATGTATGGTCTCAACAGTGTCAACAATAGTGAGTTCTCAAATCCTGCAGAGACTATAAATACAGCTGAATAGGGATACGACATTGGTTTACCTTGCCAGTGTCAGTATTTTCTTCAAATTGCTCTGTGCGGACGCGCTCAACATTTTTTTGTGACCTACTTGTAATGGGATTTTAAAATTTAGGAAAAGCCAGTCTGTCTGCATGCAAAATATGTTGTATAGGTAAAGGATTCTAAAAGGATAAAAAGAGTGTTTCTGTCGTATGGAAGCAGCCTTTTGGAAATAAATGATGACCATATCAGTGGCTCAAGCTATCAACTGAAGGAGGTCCCAGTCGATTTCATTGTCATGCTGATAAATATCTGGCTTAAAGGAAATCCCATAAACAGACGTAGTTCCCTATACCGAAAGCACGCATCAGTCCTATGCTTAAAAGAAACTGTAAGATAGAAGCAAAGGACAAATTAGGCACCTTTGTCTTAGGGTACCACAATTATATAGAGAACATCAGCTTTGCTTCCAAGTAAAATAGTAGCCTGCAACAAGAGGACACACAATGCTAAGAGTCTCGTCAATGGTCTACAGGAAAACACAACCTTATGCAGTGGCAGCTTGTAAAATCTCTAAATCTCTTAAAAATGTCAACAGGGCAACTAAAATCATAGGTACAGCAAACAAAACTAAAATCTGTCAAATTGTTCATGGAAGTCAATATTGCAATCACATAATTTACTGAAACACCTTAGAATAGTGACACCAAAATATGAGATGCTCAATCTCTGGTTTGTTGAGCTCAGAAGTCTCGTAGCATTAATAGACAGGATATGCCTAGGCAAAAGACAACCTACAGGAAGTTAGCATATCAAATGCCAGAAGATAAATGGCATGTTAAGAAGTGTATACTATGACAAAAGCCTGTTCTTATACAATAAGCTGACATTCCAGTAAAAAATATTTAGTTTCTTTGCCCCTCTATTCACTAATAAGCCACAAAAATAACAACTGACGATGTTCAGGTTATTACCTTATTGCAGCGAACCTTGAAATTGAAATGAGGTGCTGTTGTTTTTCCGGCAAGCATGGTACGACCATGCACCTGGTAAATGATGTGTTCCCCAACGTTAGGTATGTACACTTCATGAAGTGGCATATTTTTCAGATCGATCTGTAAGTAAAAAACAACATTCACAGTGCATAAAGCTGGCGCTAATGAGATTAGTGACGTCAAATTATAAAAATTGTGAGCCATATATAGGAGTGTGCTGAGAACAAAATCCATCTGAGATAATAGTACACGAAAAAATGAAGACAATTACTATTGTTAAAAGGCACACCTGAAGAATTTTTTGTTTGGTAGTTTATACATACATTACATGTGAGACAACAGTCTATATACACCCGGTTTCTATTTGGATAGCCTCAAAAGTCGGCAACTCCAACCGCTTTGTAGGGTTAAATGGCACTGCTAATCAGATAGCTGAGGTTTTAGTCCAGTTTTGGCAACAGGAATGGTGATATAGCTTAAAACTTTAGCAGAACGTAGGAAGAGCATGTTCTGTTGCATAAGACAAGCGGCAACATGAGCTATGAAAATGACAATGCTTCAGCAGCCCGTACACACAGACCTCCATGAACGTAAATAGGCACGCAAAGCTAGCACACCAAGGCAATTAGAGACAAAGTATCTGAATTGTAGCAGCCTATAAGCACAAGATGCAAAACTTTGAAGGAAACTAACATACTCTCGTAAGCCTTTCAATGCAACCACAGAATATTTTGGAAGCAATACACCAAATTAATGGTAGAGGTATCAACTAATAATTCAAAAGTCTGGTCATAAGGCATTCTCAAACGCCCAAAAAACCTAGGCTGAAGCATCGATGCTTGAAACCAATACAAATTGTAAACAGAGGCCCTTGACATATAAGGAAAAACTAACACTAAGATTCATGTTCAAGTTCAAGTTTAGAAGCTAGCATGCATGGTTTAGCATCCTAACAAATGACCTAGAGCAGCATGTAAGGTTAGCACCGTGTAATTTATTAGAGAAGGAATAGTAATGAGCTCTGGAGGATGAGCCAATCTGTAGCTAAATAACAGAAGGAAGATGGGAATACATGTGCAGACGGATATGTATCTATAGCCATAGGACGGGAACAATAGATATGGCCATCAAAAGGAATAACCCATAATAGCAGGTAGTACTACATGCATAGAAGTAGATGGCATAAACAATATACATATTATAGAATATCAAGTAAATTTAGGCATTTTGTTGCATATTCGTTTATTTGACTGAGTACCTGTTTGTATTATGGAGAGACCATCTGAGCATGTCTACTTTAACATGTCCCAATAGCTTCAAGATGGGCTAACCGGCTGAGTGAATTTGGATACATCACTTGCTTCATCATCAACCTCTATATGCAATAACGAACTCTCGTGAGTAGTAGCCTGGTTGCTCCTATTCAAATGAGGAACGAAGGACATTACGGTCACATACAATAAACCTAAGATTAGATAAACTTCCAAAGCAAGAAAACACTGACCTTTGTTGTATTTCTTCCTCAGGCTTGCAGCTGCAGGTACTCCAATTAATTGAGTTGAAAGAGGACCAATGAACATAATTGAACCGAAAACTCAAAAAAAGGAGAGAGCCAAAAGCCTAAGAACATAATTGTTGGGAATAGGGCATGCGCTCGTAACTAACAATATATAATCTGTCGTCACAACCAACGATCAT